CGGCGAAAATGACTGATTGGATATTGATATATATTCGAATTGCACAATGTCTGGATTTCATTGCTCTGCCTCTACCTCATTTGTAAAGTCTGTTAGTCCCCATTCTCTATTGTTACGCCTTCTCATGTTCATCAACTTTGAGAAATTCTTCAATGTTTATGCAATTTATTGGGTCTAACGCCATGTTCTATTATGAGAGGTAATTGTTGTATCTATGTTTAATTTTAGTTGGACATAAGAAAAGAATATATTTCTATTGTATTATCTTTGGTTGAAAACGTTTGTGTAAATTTATTGGAACGTTAGCTATTGTTATGTTGCTGTTTTTTTAATTAATTGTTGACAAGATAGCTTAGTTGATCAACCCCAAATATTTTTAAAACGTTTACTACTTGCTATTTCTTTTTATCTTAATGATCTTATTGATATTGGCAAAGAGCTTTTAACTCACTTTCATCATCTTATTTGCATTTGCCCTGATGGAATATAGGAAAGCTTAAAGAAGTAATCATTTTAATCAATAGTATGGATTTTTGGTATCATATTTCCATTTTAAATGAAATTTCATGTAAATTGCAGAGGAGAGTAAACATTCAACATATTCTTTTTTGGGGAGTAGAATATTCTTCTAATAGTACTAAAAACTATACACATAAGCCAAATTGCCATAACCACTAAAAATCGGTTTCTGCTTCCTCTTGGAACATTCAAAAAGAGAGAGGGTGCAGAAAAGAAATATAAGTTGGTATATAAGCATCTCGATGTGATGCAAAAGATATCGTCAGTGTCAGTGGCTTGGATCTTTCGGTTTTGGTATGAGATTTCAATGTTAACAAATCTATTAAACTGTTTTTGCTTGTAGTATTCATTAGTAGTTGTAGCATACTCTGAGTAGATGAAGAATTTCTATACACATTCTCAGCCACATTAACATGTTAGGTTTTAAATTGAAGATCATGTTCCCTTTTTTTTTTCTACAATAAACGTCATTACCTTCTGCCATTTTTCTATTAACATTGTCCATGTTGCTTTAAGTGATGTGAATTGTGTTATGTGGCTTTATGGAACATTCTCTAAGATTATTGAAGTATTTTGTTCTAGGTGGAAACGTGGATAGGCTTATGTTCCTAGAGAATTTTCGGAATGTTGTCGTAAAGGTGTGTCGTTGTTTGTGGTTGCATCATCCTCTGAGTTGTATGAGCCAGATCTGAGGCAAATGTTTCACATATATACACAGATTCACGTGGGTGGTTTGTCAACCAAAGAGGTAAGAGTCATTCTAGAGATTTGTTGTACTTTTGTATATATTATTTGATATCCAATCTCTTGCTCTATCACATTCACTGTCTAAACATGCTTTTCTGATAGGATTTACCATCTCCATGGCAAGGGAATCAGCCTACGTTTCACATCTATCATATACCAAAATTTTGGAAGTCATGCAGCTTTATCCTCTTTTACTTCGTATGATTTTAGCAGTGCATTTGATTCTTTTTTAATTGTTATTGTGCAAATTTGTAAGGAAAATGGAGGATAGTCAGAAATGAAAATATAATAGAAAACAAATTATTTATATAAAACCCTGCGGGTATTAGCCTAGTACATTATGAAAGTAAAATGGATCTTTCCAGAAACTGGCTACATCAACACACCATAGCTTCACACACCTGTCCTGAATAAAAGTTAATAGAAACGTTCGACCTTTCTAAAAAGACAAAGTTTGATGTAGCCTTAGAGGGTTTCAAATCCACGGTATGA